AGGGGAGAGCGACGTAGACGCTTCGAAGGTCTGCTCCATCAAATATTCACGCGTAAGTTAAGTCTGTGGGGCAGGAGTGGAAGTAGCCACTGGCGACGGTCAGACGGTTAATCCGCCTACAGAATAAGCTTTAATTGACAGTAGCCACTCGGATGTGCTTTGAATGCTATGCAAGCCGAAGCACTAGATTATCACGTAGGGCCAGAGAGGTGGAAAAACTAGGAGAGCTGGCAAAACAAGCGTCACATATAAAGCGTCCGCACAAACGGGAAAGAAGAGGTAAGCCAGGGCTGCCTGCTGGTAGAGACCAGGCGCCCAATGAAGTGCCTCGGAAAAGACGAAAATGGGTAGGCTTGATAAGGGGGCATTTCTCAGCCAGTCAACCCCCCCCTCCCAGGGCTACATGTCTAATTAGCGTAACGCTAGGGCGGGTAGCCGGGCATAAGGATTGTTATGACAAAGTTCCTTCATGGTTCAGTAAAAACGGCAAAAATAGAGGGAAATGTGCAACAAGATCAAGGCGATCTAAAAGATCACTTTGTCTGCATTCTGCGACTGGTTGGTCCTTTGGTGAAATTGAACTCGCTTCAGGAGCACGATGTTACCCCCGAGTCGCGAACTCACCCCTGACTCACCGCATCTCAACGCCATGCAACTGATTGGCAGGTATAACCTATCAGGGCGACTTTAAGCCACGGCCAACTTATGTGGGTACAAGATATCACCACACTATAATGAATTTTACGGTATCTCCAACGGATACAGCTATTCAAGTGTGTATACAAAAGAATTCGCGAGAACTATAAAAAAAATTTCGAAATTCGTCTAGACTACTAACACTAGATCGTGAAACGGTTTTCAGAACTGACTCATCGCATAAGATTATCAGGAAAAGTTATGTGCGCAATTGCTTAAATTGGTGGTGTCAGGCGCACAGATTCAGCCTGTAAAAGAACGGCTTAGGTGTGATGTTGAGAATTCAAAAAAACGTATCCCTGCAAAGCTTAGATTAGCGAGTTGTCTCGGACTCAAATTAATGCGAAACCTACTACAAAATACTACATTCAATGCATAACACCGTACGGCGGATACTGGAATGATTGTGTACACTTACGAGGTGTTATAAGGTTTGCAGGTGGATTCCAACATACACCACATAGAGACTGAAGCTCTACAAACAGCAGAAACCTACCGAGACTCTTCACCCTCGAGCATCTTTCGGTACATAAGGATTTCCTGGTCCAGGGCGATCTTGGTATTCATGAGGTCCGTAAATTCACCGAAACGCTGCTCCAATTCATCTTGCAGGCGTTTTACTTCTGCGCGCTTTTCTTGCAATTGAGCCTCGAAGTCCTCGCGCTGCAGACGTAGCATACGCTCCAGGTCGGACAATCGTCTGTTCAGGAGATCTACCTCACCCGACTTCTTGGCTAACTCGTGAGTTAGATCGTCAGCTCGCTTTCTCACAACGACGATTTCATCCCGAAGTCTCACTGACTCGTCAGAGGCGTTCGAATTAGCGGCCCGTAATTCATCGAGCTTCTTCTGCGCTCAGGAGAAAAAAGTACTTCGAGTTAATTCACATACAAGAAAATGTAGGAGGCGGAGTAAATTTATTAAAAAAATAAAATGACAAAATACGAGAAAAAACGGTTTACTGGCTTGCTTTAGTTGTCCGTAGGATTTATCATGTAGGAAATTAAGGTTTTTATAGGTACCTCGAAGTACGTGGTAAAAAATAGGTACTGTACAAAAGTTTATTTTGATTAGTTGCAGTCTACTAAAAGTAGTTCTTTTGGTTGCTCAAGCAGCGATGTTTTATATGCTTCCTGGCGTTTTTAAATCCCTACTATCGGTGAGTTTCCAAACCATGAGCCCCTCAGAAAGTCCCAATCTTATTTTTAACTCGGAGTCGTGTACTTTTTTGACTTCACCGCTGCCTTCGATTCCACCCATCGTGAGTCCCTGAGGCGGATAATGGAACCAGATGAGGTGCAGGTAAAAATCCTCTTTATGAGCAAGGTCTACTATCGTTCGGCCACATGGAAGTGGTTCTAAACCTTAGGCAATCGTCTTTTGTCGCTGGAAGAGAGAGTTGACCGAGTTCGACAGATCCGCTGCCACGGATCGTCATGCATGCACAATCGTACAATCCGTTAAATCACCGAGGCCAGCTAGATCAGACATGAGGACATCTGTACAAATTTCCGAGTGGATCATCAGAATTTGTTCAAAAAAGTGATCCCTTTGCAGGCACTTGGATTCCGCATTACGCAACACAAAAGTGCAGTCCTTGCAAACATTTATTTTAAACAACATGCAAGGTTAATCTGCAAAATTTGGTCCCACGTCTAGTTTACTAGGAGTTCTGGTAGACTGGTGGAGGCTTGTGTTGGTGGAGAAAGGTGCCTTTATAAGATAGTCTCAGTTGAAGTGCGAATGGTGGTTGAAGACACGAAGGTAATAAGTAAGGACGGCTTTCGAAGACGACATACTTAAAAATACTCTACCTACTAATCTGTGAAGATGAGTTTCGGTCGCCGAGACGACATAAACAACTTCTTCTAAGGTCAGGGCGCAAAGTGGAGGGGTACCGTCCGTTACATCGTTAAGGCCAGCTAGATCAGGCATTATCACAGCTGTAACAAGTACAAGTAAGTAAGGGGCACGAAAATGTCTACACGTTAAAGGCTGAACAGCGATAGAGAAGACGATTTAGGTGAACTAGCTTTTTAGGAAGTTAACACGACCAACTTGCCTGGAAAGTATTTTCCATCTGAGTTCGATACACCTGTAACTCGTCGCCAGTCTGCTGACGGAACGATAAAAGTTCATCGGCCAGACGACTTTCGTATTCGGCGGCCTTCCGATCCTCAATCTCCTCCTCAATTGTGAGAGTTCGACTGACGAGCTTTTGACGTTCCTGTAAAAATACAACCAGTAAACATCGCGAGGAACAAGATATTTTACCTCGTCAAAGAGACGGTTTTTGAAATCAAGTTCTTCCCGCAGACCAGCAACCTTATTTTCTAGATCAGTTCGGAGGATAGTTTCAGCCTCAAGATCACGTCGCATAGCTTCCAGGCGCTTCTCCAGGTTATCATATTCTGGCTTCAGGCGCTGGTAGCATTCGTGATCGTCCCTGAAGGCAGAAAGATCATGCTCAAGGGCATCAATTTTGCGCTGCAAGCCACGGGCCTCCAGGTCTCGCCTAGCTAACTTGTTCTTAGCATCAGCTGCATCATCTCTATGTTTTTTCAATTCCATATCAGTCGCCGCTTTCTGCTTTGCTAAGTCGTCCACCAGCGCACGCAGGGAGGCGATCTCGTCCTCGTAAGTACTCCGGGCCTCGTCAACTCTAGAGATCCGTTCCTCAGTTATGGACTGCATCTTTCTCTTCATGGTTTCTTTGTCCTTCTCTAGCTTGCGCACATAATCTATATACTGTGCTAAACGGTCGTTCAAACTAGCCAGCTCCTCCTTCTCATCGGAACGGGTGATGTTTAATGGACTGACAGAGCGCTCACGCCTGCGTGATGGAGTGAAAGATTCGCGAGAATACTCCGAAGAAACAGACACATGTGAACGATCAGCTGCCGTGGACTTTTGGGGAGAATCCGTTTTCGAATGCTCGGCTTGCTTGCTCTTTCTCGCTCTAGCCGACATTTTTTGTTAAATCTAAAAAGGAATCGTTAAAAACCGAATGAAGTTTAGATTGACTGTTTAGCAAGTCAGTAAACATGGATTAGTAAGAACATACCCTAAATGGTTTCATCTGATGCAAAAACGACTTTTGTAAGTGGATACAATTATGCTTAAACTTGAAATGTAGTCGTAAATAAAATGGTAAACTAGAAAAAATGGACGTGTAGTGACGAGGAAAGCGCAAATATTAATGACTAACGCAGTAGAGGAAAAAACAAAACCATTTGGCTGAAATATAAGGGCAATTGCTCGTTGGACTCAACGTTCGTTCAAAGTCTCAAAAAAGTAGAAGGCATCCAAGAGTTCTGTCAGTCGACAGTTCGACTTCTGATGGAGTGTGGTATAAAGGGCATGTAGAAAATAGTGGATACCGGTTTCCTGAAACCAGCCTTCTGAAGTGGTGATAACTTTCAAAACGCGTTAGCGGACAATCCGCCGGCACTTCCAGCAAAAGGGCTGGCCGGCCATGATAGTATACTCTATTTGCTCTCAGAGGTTCGGTGTCTCATCAAACACTCAGTGCCACGTGACTGTTCTGCAATTATCCTACCTGTCTGCATAAATTATTTGAGCTCATTTAAAGACGCCCAAGAAAATAATAAGTTGTGAGGCCAGTTAGGTTGGCTTTTGTAGACACCTACGTTCTCATCAGAAGGAA